TTTTTTTTTTTTTTTTTTTTTTTTTTTGGTCGCTGCATGTCATGACGACAGTTGAATGCTGATGAGCAGCTCCAACTCCAGTCAACAACTACATGCTATCGTTGCTACCTACTTAAGTACTTTGCATGTCTTTGGCACACCACTGTAAAGCCGTATAGATAGTAAAGAAGAATGGTCTTATATTACGAATCAACGCCCTCTTATATATATCACCTCAACAGACGAATGCTGTCCTCCTAATAAATCGACCAAACAATCAACATTCGTGTCTCATGATATCGCATCAACTCCCAATTGTACTCCGTCCTGGCTCCATCATATACTCACAGAGATAACGTTAAAATAACTTTTTTCCCGAAAATCAACATCTACAACTGGTAGCGCATGCCATACCAGGCTGGCGGCACTCAGCTGCTGCCGACAAACCCCCTTATACCCCTCAGCCCCAGAGACTTCTTCTCCTTCTTGGGCTTGCCCGCCTCTTCCTTGGCCTTGTCTTTGCTGTCCCTGCGCATCATGCTCTGGAGCCCACCTATTTGTGCCGGATTAGTTCCTTCATCCATTTCTCCTGCGGGACAAGTATAGGGCCAACAATGTCCGACTTACTACTAAAATAACTCCTTTCCGGGCTCATCGATAGGTTCATCGACGATCCCTGGCCGTCCGTCCCGGCCGTCCCCGCGGAGCTGGTTGGTTGCAGCGGCTGCAAAACAGACGACGTAGGCGTCCCCGGGTTCGAGCCAGGCGAAGACGTGGCGTTGTATCCCGAGCCCTCGCCTTGCTCCGCCGTCGACAAAAGCCGGAGCGGCCTCGACTTCATCGACATGGGCCCCGTGGACGACGACATGCCGTCTTCCTCGCCGTCCGCGATGCTCGACTTTTCCGTCGCCACCGACGCCTCCAGCTGCATGTCCAAGAGGGACGACTGCAGCACCGTGTACTTGCGCGTCAGCAGGCTGTACTGCTTCTGCATCTCTGCCTGCTTGGCGCGGCTCGCCGCAAGGGCGCTCTCGACCGCAACGCTCGCCGTCGCGGGCGGCCTGTTGCGCTCCTCCCGAGCCTCCGAGAGCTGAGCCTGGAGCGCTGCCACCTGCGACTGGAACAGCTTCTTCGTTCGCTGCACCTCCAACTCAGAGGCCGCCAGCTGCAGCCTGAGCGTTTCCACCTGGTTCTGGGCGTCTTCGGCCGCGTTGACTGCCGCCATTCGTTCCACCTCCCTCGCCTGGTAGTCCCGCTCCGACAGCGACAGCCGCTCCACCTCCGCCTTGAGTCTGTCAATCTCGGCGCCGTGAATCTCAATCGACTGCATGTTTTGCCGTGCGTTGAGCTCCTTCACCTCGGCGTCGCACACGAGCTTTCGCAGCTTCTCGCATTCTCGCAGACTCTCCTCGAGCTCCTTCCGAACCGAGTCAATCTCCGTCTGCATCTTCTTCGACTCCTCGCGCAGGTTCTTCAGCTTATTGGCCAGGTCCGCTTCCCACTTCTTCGCCATCGCACGACTCTTCTCCGACTCCTTGCGGACTTGCATCTCAGCCATCTTGGCCTCTTCGTAGCGGCTCTTGAGGTTTCGGTTCATCATGATTAGATTCTGCATTTCCGCCTCCGTGGCAGCCTCCGCCATTTGTCGTCGTCTAAGCTCGCCGATGTGGGCCATGTGTTGTTGTTTGAGATATCGCTCAAAACTGAGGTCATTCTGCAGCAAGAGAAGCTGTCTCTGTAGGTGAGCAATCTGGGCATTGTTTCCATTGTCGGCCGATACGGGCGTGTGGGTTTGCGGTGGCAGCGTCATCATCGTCGACGGCCTGTCTGCCACAGACTCTTGATGGCTTAGAGCAAGGGACGGCACACTGTCGTTGGCTAGCGACTGGTGAAGACTGCTCTTGATGGCCTTGTTCGACCTGATGAGATCCTGAAGCTGGGTGTGAGAGGCCGACTGGAGCAGTTGGGTGCCCGAAGGGCTATCTACGCCGAAATCCTTGGCCCGGGTCGCTTCGCCAGAGTCCCTCGCCGAATGATGGCTGGATTGCGAGCCCTGACGCATCAGTGTCGGGGGCGTATGGTCGCTGGCAACGGACTCTGTCATCGATAGGTGAGTGTTCCTCCACGAGTTTACCTTGGTCACTGAGCTGCTCAGCAAGCCTGGGTCTGATCTCAGTTGGCTCAGGTCGTCGTTGAGACCCTGGGCCGAAGCTTGCGTGAGGTGCAACAGGTCGTGGTCGCCAAACAGTTGGGAATCGGGGGATATACACAGCGCCATGCATTCAGCCACGACTTCGGCGGCCTCGCTTTTGATCCATCGCCCCACGTCTGTCTTTTCCGTCTCAATGGTGAGTGTGTAGAAGTTGGGATGAAGCACATGGCTTCTCCGGAACTGTTCCGACTGATGCCGAATCTCCGTCGGCTGCACCTCGATCTCGTCCGCGTTGGACACGTTGGCATGTCGCATATATCTCTGCGGTTTGCGAATGTAATCCATGAAGTTGATCGGATAGAGGCCGTAGAGGATCGTGTAGTAGTGGGATAGGTGTGGTATGTTGGTGTCTTCCGTCTCCGGCTCGAATGCATACACCTCCCAGCGACTCGCTTGTTCGGAATCGTGAAAGGGCGACTCCAAGGTACCCGACCGCTCCTTTTCCCAGAAGAGTAGCCTGGCATAAATGTTGAACAGAGTAGGCAGATGCGGCACGAGAGAGCTGGGCATATGGGGCAGAAGCATGATGAGAGCGGTCAGCGCAGCCGAGACGACGGTGGTCGATGTGTCCTGCTGAAGGCACGTCAAGAGATCGGTGAAGAGAGGGGTCTGGGCCACTTGGTGAAGGTGAGGCGGCTGCGACTGAATAAAGGAGCAGATGAAGTTTAGGCTGGCTTTTCGATATTTCTTCTTGATGAGGTAGCCGTCCAACGAAGAGAAGAATTCCTGTTTTCAATTAGTCAAAGGAGCAGATACAAAGA